CTTACTGTCTGAAAAGGGGTAGGCAATTTAAGTTTATTTCTGTCTGATGAGGAGTAGGAGTTTCACACAACCAGCTACACACCCCTGGGATATAATCTAGGGTACATTAAACCATGGTGTGTATAACTGCAGGTTCCACGTCTATTGCACTGAGGCCGAACATAATAAACAAACCCAGCGTCTAACGCCTTGTCACAAAAATAGACTTTAGACATTATTGTCCCATTTTTTTAATATATACAAGTATATAGAAAACACAAATTAGCCTGAACTGTTGTTTTTTTCTGGATATCGGTGTTCAAAAATTTGACGTGTATGTGAAGGAGATGGCGGTTATTTTGCTGACCGTGATCTTTAGATTGTACAAACACATTTTTTTACTTCTGTACACTCATGAATACATTCACTCAATACACATATATATGTGTTCGTAGGTTCGTTCAGGTAAAATCGTTCAGTGGTTGTTTCTTGGCTGCTGGCTTGAAGGGGACCGAAAGCATATAATATGCAAAAAGTGTGTTTGCTACGAATCGCTTCTTTAGTTGCCTCGTTTACACGCTATTTTTGTCTGTAAGCTAAGCGCTCCTTACCAATTGCCTAATGTAAACATCTAACTTTTACATCTAACCCCCAAAATACACACTTAAAACGTGGTCGATATTTCTATGAGGCGAAAAATATGCTGCACAGAGTGCCTCCGTTTTGTTCTCCGTGGATGTTCTCTGTGAAATTAAATGTATGTATATTCCAACCGATGTGTGAATAGTTCCACTAAATATATGCAGAACCGCTACTAAAAAAACATCAAAAAGAAAAACAAAACGGCTTAAACTTACATCACGCTTGTCGCTAAAATAAATATTTGAAAAACAAGTTTACAGGTATAGTACTGCTATATATTTAAACACGTATTGGGTCTATACTGTCGTAAGTAACAGCAACCCTTCGGCGAAATTACCATATAAGACTTCGTCAAAACATTACCTTCTCCAGCCAGCCGCACTGCTGTCTCCGATATATTTCAAACCAGATATGCCTGCCTCCTGCGTAAACAAGACCAGCGTTCCTCTGGAAGTACCTTTCCTCTCTTCGACTTCCTTTGATTGGGTTCCTTCGCTTCCCGTATTTATCTTGTTATCACTTCCACTATTGTCGTATCCAAAATTGTCCATCGCTAAGACGCTGGGACTACGTCGGTCAGACATTTCCGATACAAAAAATCGCCCTGTATTTGACGATCACTACAACAAGGGTCAGTCTTTCCACGTGATGAAGTGAACTCCTTCCAGACCTGTACAGTTTTAACTGTTTTGTTAAATGCTTGCCGTTATACGTTTGTAATTGATACTATTGTTCATCTCGATACTATTAAGTTAATTATAAACTCAACCACTGGGAAGCATACAGTATATGTAAATGCAGGTAGCATATTTACTTGTGGACTTTGAACCCGATTGTTGTTCATAGTTTGCGTTCGCCTGTCATCGTAGATTGCGGACATTGGCTGTGCATACACTTCTCGTGACTGGATTCCGTGGCACATACTGCGCAACTTCCCACAAACCACTGCGGGCTTAATGTACGAAAATCGGGTATTGAATTGCTATTTTGTAATAATTCCCGCGAAAAATAAATCAAAAAGCGCCGCCCATTGTTCTCTGGAAGCGTGGTTATCCTGCATTGATCAAACGTTACAAATTTAAATTTGTATTGGTTTAACAAAAAGCACTTTGTTTTTCAATTTTCGTATTTGATATAAGGGGTCATCTTTGTTGTCCCGCAAAATATTAAGAAGATCACGCAAGATTCAGTGACGATTGCGTTTTTGTGGTCTTGGTCACGTATTTAACACATTTTTCAAAATTAAAATGGTCTTCCATATTGCTCCATCGGGTAGATTTTGCTATGCAAGGCTCCTCAACAATACATTTGTATTCATATTTGATAAGTTTTGTATGTAAAAACAGAGACAGCTACTTTTAAAACATGGAAAGAGTAAATAACGAATTACGACGCGGCAATATTTATGGTTATTATTTAATATTCGGATAAGGCAAAGAAGTAGGAAACTAATTTATTGTTCGATATTTGTTTTCATAATGTATTTATTGTATTAATTAAATTTCTAAATAATATTTAAATGGTTATGTATTATTAGAGACTTAGAGGAGCTCATTTAAATTAGACAAAAATATGCGCAGGTGTGGTAATCACCATATTGGAATTCAACATTGAGACTCCGCCAATAGAATAAGAGATGTAAAGAAAATAAATATAATGATTGGATCGCATGGAATCAACGCCTGTCTATCGCTGCTTCATCCAGCTCACTAACTCGAGCACTGATAACAACACCGTGCATGTTTAATTCTTTCGGTTATTCAACTTGTGACAGGTACATGGTATGCACATCGCAAAATATAAGAATATATAAAGTTTATTTATTTATATATTGAAAATACTACATCAATAAATTAATCGCTACATGCACAGTATGTCTGCTGACAATGGTGACGTGTGTGATCTTTTTTCCAATAAATATGATGCATACAGTCGATAATAAGTATTGTGTCTATTATAGATGTATACCGTAGGACGGCATACAAAAGTTTCCTGTATATGAACACTTTTATAATCGGGTGTTTTAGGGTGAAACATTACATGTGTGTTTGTTTTAGGGGGTTCTTCCAAATAGAACAGTGTGGAAGAAAAGTGTTTTAGTTATTCTTATGAGCTCGTATACGAAAACACTTATAAAACATGCATAGTCGATTGTTTTACCTTGAAACATTACATGTGTGTTTGTTTCAGGAAGCGCTTCCAAATAAAACAATTTGGAAGAAAATAGTTTTGCTTACTCTTTTGAGCCTGTGTACATGTCGTATACATAAACACTTATAAAATATGCATAGTCTGGTGTTTTACCTCGCAACATTACATGTGTGTTTGTTTCAGGAAGTGTTTCAAAATAAAACAATTTGGAAGAAAATAGTTTTACTTACTCGTATGAGCCTGTGTGCATGTCGTATACATAAACACTTATAAAATATGCATAGTCTGGTGTTTTACCTCGCAACATTACATGTGTGTTTGTTTCAGGAAGTGTTTCAAAATAAAACAATTTGGAAGAAAATGGTTTTACTTACTCGTATGAGCCTGTGTGCATGTCGTATACATAAACACTTATAAAATATGCATAGTCTGGTGTTTTACCTCGCAACATTACATGTGTGTTTGTTTCAGGAAGTGTTTCAAAATAAAACAATTTGAAAGAAAAGAGTTTTACTTACTCGTATGAGCCTGTGTACAAGTCGTATACGTAAACACTTATAAAACATGCATAGTCTGGTGTTTTACCTCGAAACATTACATGTGTGTTTGTTTCAGGAAGTGTTTCAAAATAAAACAATTTGAAAGAAAAGAGTTTTACTTACTCGTATGAGCCTGTGTACGTGTCGTATACGTAAACACTTATAAAACATGCATAGTCTGGTGTTTTACCTCGAAACATTACATGTGTGTTTGTTTCAGGAAGTGGATCAAGATACACCAATTTGGAAGAAAAATATTTTTATTTCTCACAACACAAATGTGACGTATACGTTAACACTTTTTTGCGCAACTGTTATAGTCTGGTGTTATGGGTTGAAACATCTGAAGTGTTTAAAAATTGATCAGTTTTCGGAGAACATGTTTAAATTAGATGGGAAAATGTTCAGATGTGATTGGAACTACAACTACGACGTGTACATCGCGTGTCTCGATTTATGGTTGTTTTTTAGGTTGGTAAGACAATATTGTTTGTAAGACCATATAAGCGTACATACAGTCAATTCTTCCACAGCCTGGTACTTTACATGAATATATTTCTGAATGTAATACCATGACCCATACCATTATGCGTTTAATTACCGTCACTTTCACATATACCATAATGTTTACTTACGAGTCCCCAGACTTTTCACTCAATTTTTTTAATACTACTTACTTGCATGAAGTTAGATGCATTAGCTCATAAATGTTCTATCAATAAACACTTCAATGACACATTTATGTCCCTTTAAAATACTGAGTGTTTTATTTTGAAAAAAGTGTTTTTTGTGTCTTTACAATGCGCTTAATCTCAGTAAAGGTTAATAACTCCACAAAACACTACTTTTTTGATAGATAATATAGGTGTTGTATTATATAATAAAATTGTTTTTTATTACAACAGTGTTCTTTCAAAAAAAACGCTGGGTTTTAATGAAAAACATGAAAGTGCTTCCAAGATTTATAGTATAGGAATCCATACCACACACACAGGCTCTACCACAAGCACAGCTGCACCCAATGTTATTCATCGAATATGGAGATAGTGTATTGAAAATATCACCCAAAAATACAAATTACATAATACTAATACATACTTAATATAAATGTAAATGTTATCGTATCTTGTTTTCTATGCCATCATAAACGATATTGGATTCTGTCCCAGAATTCTATTTCAATCATTCGTAAAATTTTAATATATTATTTATTTATTTAAAAGAAAAGAATATCATACGTAATTATTATATGGCAGTGAAAGTCTAATTTCTATTCATAAAATTGCCCTGTAGTTATCGTCATGGTATATAGCTATGCCGTATCACGTTTGTTGTTGGTGTGTTTTCTGATATAGTAATATCGTATCGCGCTTGCTGTTGGTAAGTCCTTCAATGGAGTTATATCTTATCAAGTTTGTTTTTGGTAAGTTCTCTGATATAGTAATATCGTATCACGTTTGTTGTAGGTATGTTTTCTGATATAGTAATATCGTATCACGTTTGTTGTTGGTAAGTTCTTCAATGTAGTTATATCGTATCAAGTTTGTTGTTGGTAAGTTCTCTGATATAGTAATATCGTATCACGTTTGTTGTTGGTAAGTTCTCTGATATAGTAATATCGCATCACGTTTGTTGTTGTAAGTTCTCTGACATAGTTATATCGTATCAATGTTGTTGTTCGAAAGTTCTCTGGTATAGTAATATCGTACCACGTTCGTTGTTTAAAAGTTCTTTGATATAGTAATATCGTATTACGTTTCTTGTTGGTGAGTTTTCTGATATAGTAATATCGTATCACGTTTGTTGTTGGAAAGTTCTCTGATATAGTAATATCGTATCAATGTTGTTGGTGATAAGTTCTCTAATATAGTTATATCGTATTACGTTTGTTGTTGGTTCTTTTTTGCAGACTTCCATGCCCAGAACCTCACGATGAAAAAATCAAGAATCTCTAGGAAGGTCACCAGGCTTGCACCGAAGAAAAGTCCCAGAGTGCCACCAACATCACCTAGAATCGCAGGGAATGGTGGAAAGATTAAGGCGATTACGTGATGTATTAGTAACTATAATTAGAAGACTGTGAATGTACAAAACAAAAACACGTATATATGAAGTAGAACTACGTTATACTCAAGATATGTATACACTCAGTTTATTAATATGTTGTGTATGTCGGCCAACCTAAAATACTTACATACTAAGTTGAAAAACTCGTACCCTGGCTGCTGTATAATTTGTTCTTCTTTCAAATCTTCGAAATAGATTGTGACTTTGGCGAAGTTCCTCCTAAAAGTGTAAAAATAACACATGGCATTAATAATAATAATAATAATAATAATACATAAAACGTTATTTCTTTCAAAAAATGCGCCAGAATTATTCATTAATGTGTGTGTACGTGACCAGACGGAAGAAATAAAATGCCATATTACAGAAAATATACCTGACACAAGGTATGTAACTTACCCACACCATCAGAAAGAATAGCCCAACCCTAATGAAACGTCGATTGTGTTTAGAAAAAAATATATTTGACCTACTGCATAAAATTTCTACATATTTCACTAATATCTTCGTGATCAAATAAGGTCGTCATGAGGTCATCCCTGATTTCTTTGATGTTTTGGTAGATGATAGGTATCATTTCATGATATAACGGTTCGTAATAACCAAAATATAGATCGTCAGTCATGGACAAAATAACTTCGGATGACAACCCTGCGTCGGAAAGCATGTCCCATATGGGGGCTGCTAAAGAATTACGGTACGTTCCACTGTCGAGAAAAAAGAACTTTATGTATGCTATGGAGTCATTGTAGTGTTCTGAGTACAACTCGTCCGATTCTCCCAGGTAAACCTTGTCCAGTGTGTGAGTGTCCACCATGTACCGTAACCACGTGACTATATCAAGTAGTGGTCCACCAGCAAGTGTATATTTCATGAGCCAATGGAAGTCATCTGAGTCAAGGTACTCTGATATGTTACGTCCATCGCTGTTTTCGAGTGTGTCATATAACTCAAAAATGCTGGTGTAAAAAGTCGTCATAAGTTCCTCATCTTCATTGGCTCTTCTCTTCCTGCAAGACAACGACAACTTTATGAGAGGCTTTTGTTCAATAATGTCCAACACAAATTTAAAAGCAGAACATATGTCTGTGTGTCTCTTTGTCTCTCTCTCTCAGTCTACCTGTCTACCCGATTGTCTGGCTGTTCCATGGTCTGTTTGTCTGTCTGTCTGTCTGTCTGTCTGTCTGTCTGTCTGTTTGTCTGTCTGTCTTTCTGTCTTTCTGAAAAACTCTGTAACTATGTTACTACTAAAATATATAGAATTAAAGCGCGGTGGTCGTTGCGCAGCGCGTGTATTTTACGCGCGTTGTATACGTCGCTATGAGTCCCTTATCGAACAGGACGCGGCACGACGACTGCCGTCCTTTAACATAACAGGATAGCATGTATATAGCGGTCAAGTGACGGAATTTACATTCACGCGTGTTTGATACCATTGTTTATCACTAGATTGTTGTGAGGGCTACAATAACATGTGTGGATTATCTAATAATCGTTGTGTTGCTTTGCTAATATTCCATTGACATTCAAAGATACATGAAATGCAATTGTTCATTCTTATTGAACAGAATGTTCTGCAATTCAATAACAGTAACAAAGAATTCTCATAATATTTGACATCAAATCGATCTTTTCAAATATTAGTTGTTGACGTGTAAACAATTCTGGATTTCAGTTCTCAAGGCAATTCTCAGATTCGCTTATTAAAAAAAACACTCGCTATCATCATCAACTGGTTAGATTATCGGGCAGCTTTTTTGTATTTAAGATGATCCCGTTTAATTTGGGCTGATGTATACTTACAGCATGTACATGTATATTGCCACGTCACATGGGTACTTTGCTGCTCCCGTTAAAAGGTCCGTAAACATACTAGACGGGTATAAACCATGTGTCACTTTGGTGTTATATTTGGTTTGCTCACATGGTTCGCGACACTCAATACAAGGGTCTCTCAACAATGAAAAGTTATCTGATAATTAAAGAAAATAAAGACTTAAGACATGACGATACAGATATTTACCATTGATTTAATAAACATTACAAGCTTTGGTATAATATGCTGCGCGATACTGCCGCTGTAATAACCTTATTATTATACATCTTTTCCTCCCAAATTCAAAATTTTTAGAACAGAATCTACGAACTTCTTTGTGTGGAGTCCAGTCAAACCCTGGTGGCAGCCCTGCTTGTTTTTATTATTAAAGGACGCTTACGCGCGTAATCATTCCTTATTTGGAATTCGTATTTACTAATATAGTAGGATAAAAATACTCCGTAAATACCACAAACTTACGGCACGCTGTGGCGCTTATGGCGTTACGGTAACACATGTATAATAATATTAATTATTTAATGATAAGATATATTAGATATTAATATCTACACATCATGTTGATAATATGTAAATCATATGACCACTCAATGTACTGTTGATTCACAGTCAGCTGGCGCACGCGAGATAATAAAATAAATGCGATGTTTACTATTAGTATATGGGGCCGCCATCTTGAATGCGGCATAAAACTAAATTAAAAACAAGTTGTGAAACGCGTTTTTCAGATTCCTGCAAATCAGTACAAAAATGCCAATCTTTCACAGAAATACGATCCGTTGGGGGTAACATTAGGCCAACTGATAACCAAATTTGGCCGAATTCGTCGTTTTTGTGTGGAAAAAATCCCTTAAATACGAAATTGTCATCCAACTGTAAGGCCGTCGCTGATTGGCTGCTGAGCTGGAATAACAATTTTTGGTTTCAAATACCCCAGGAAAGTGTTCTATGTAATAAATTCATAGTAATAAGTCACAAATATACTCAGCTTGGTGCAGCTGAGAAATACTTGGTGCTACATATTCCAACACTAAATAGTAAACATGCTTTGTTTTAATATGTACCAAACACGCCAATGGAAGTTGTTTACTGACGTCCAAAACAAACTAACAAGTGAATTTTGGTTAGCTTCTAGAGGGCGATATCTAAAACATTTAACCTATTTGTTCCAATCATAACAATTGTATAATGTCCAGGGTTTATATATAAAACCATTAAAATTTGTTTTTGCAAATAACGGATATATTTTCCTCAAATTCATTATATAATGTTATTAGTAGATAATTATGTATATTCTACTTATGCTGTACACAAGTTATTTACAATTTCAATTGTTATCGTTATTTCGTGATTCGTCGACACAGAAAGGCTGCTAATAGCACCACTTACGCTTGTGGAGTGCGCCATCACAGGGCTTGTTC